GGTGAGCTGGAAGTGTGGTGGGGGCATGATAGGCGTGGTAGAGAGGGGCATGATAGGCGTGGTAGAGAGGGGCATGATAGGCGTGGTAGAGAGGGGCGTGATAGGCGTGGTAGAGGGGCATGATAGGCGTGGTAGAGAAGGGCATGATAGGCGTGGTAAAGAGGATCTTGGGCAGCTGACGGGGGTAGTGGAAGCTACTGAGAGCCGAGCTATATGAGGGTAATGGAGTGTGGAGACTTGTGATCTCCTTGTTGACTTAGAGCCTGGGACTTAACATGTGTGTGTGTGTGTGTGTGTGTGTGTGTGTGTGTGTGTGTGTGTGTGTGTGTGTGTGTGTGTGTGTGTGTGTGTGTAGTGATGCAGCGCGTGTGGTCGAGGGAATCACCAGGACCCACAGGCTAGTGGAAGGATAATAGTGAGCATGAATGTTTTCGGGGTTGAGGGGGAACAGACCACAACACAGGGATCAGTAGCCACTATGACCCCTTAAAGTGATTTGTTACAACCATCCTTGACGTAACCATCAGTAGCCTCCCCAACAACGGAGGGAGAGGCAGAAATGGGGAGGGAGAATTGTGGTTGTGTAGCCCAGTGTGAGGAGACAGGGAGGGTAAGGAGATAATAATAATTCAGGGAAGAGATGCAGAAGGGATGTGGAATAAGGAGGGATAGAGAGGATGAGGAGAAAAGGAAGGGAAATTCTTAACCAGAACGAGGTCGACAGCGAACAGCACCAGGGGGGGGGGATACCAAAACATCGTGACCACTGACCGTCGGTAGTAGACTAAATTAACTATTTCTGAGACTAACACATCTTTTCTTTATATAAGTATGTGTTTGTGTGTGTTCGTTCACATTTATATCGAGGTATTTAGCGAGAAAAATATTTATGACTTCAAAATTTTCGTGTGAGAGGAGGGGCGTGAGCTGGCAAGGTGATCAAGCTGATGTTAATAGTATCATTTGCACATTCCTACCGTCCAGCCCAGGGCGGTTGGGTCCTACACGCCCTGGGTCTTGTTCTTAGCATGACTATGGCCTTGGCCCGTGTCGTTGTGGCCCACCCGGTACCCATGGATATTTTTTGGGCATTTTGGATTTTCTTTTGTGTGTGGCCTCTGCCCTAATCTCGTCACTCATAACAAAAATCTGTCTAGTACATCACATAGCTCACCCTTCACCTGTACTCCCCACCTCTCCCCCTGTTCCTGTAGTAGTCGGTGCTGGAGGCTGGAGTGTCACCCTCTGTCATGTGGACCGTGTGTAAACTGATCAGGTAAATTTCTCATGAATTTTTATGTTCATTATAGAAATCCGTCGTGTTATTTCCTTTCTAGTATTGTTAATATATTATCTATGGTGTTCTTTGACGATGAAGTAAAGGTGTGGAGAGGTGGATGTCGCGGCGTGAGCCAGGGTACGGCCCTATGGTTGGCCAGTGTCACCACGACAACTGGCTGTGGGGCCGGAGAGAGAGAGAGAGAGAGAGAGAGAGAGAGAGAGAGAGAGAGAGAGCAAAGCTGGCCTGGGTATTGTGTTCACATTGCTCGCTCTGCCTCCACCTACAATAGCCACTACTCGTTGCTTCCTTTCAGTCCCTCCAAAACCTCACCTGATCCTCCAGTTCGCCTTAATGAGCACCGTCTCGTAACATTTGTCAGGTGTCCTTCATTATCATAAGTCGCGCCCGGTAACAGTTGCTGGGTCTGAGTAGTGAGGTAACTGTGAGTGTAGAAGTTCAGGTGAGAAAGGTTAGGCTGCCACGTCAGCATAAACAGATCGTTAAACCCAATATTTCCAAGAAAGACCCAAGTAGTAATCCCTTAAGGAGCACAGGGAGAGGAAGGTGGTGGTGGTGGTGGTGGTGGTGTAACAGGTAGTGGTCGCGGGGCGGTGTACCATGGTGTACTCCGGCGACAAAAACCTCTATTGACAACACATCTCGACCCTCGCATAAAGGCATCAGACGGCTTGGTTAAGGAGTTATCGCTACCGGGGTATATTTATTTCTCTCCCCGTCTGACGTCACTGTAAACGTCGTATAAGGCTTTATTGAAGGCGGATCCTGTATGGGGGGGGGGTAGACGCCAAGTTATCCTGAGTAATGTTTATCTTGATGTCCTGTATATTGTAGCCAGGGAGGGTAAGGGTGGGAGATACAGGGAGACATTATGGGGACAGTGAGGTAGACGGTGTTTACATTCTCGGTGGATGGTAACAGTGTCTCAGAGTTGTACCATAAGACTATTGACGATGGGTGGAGGTGGTCCTTAACGAGCTAGTTTGTACTGTGTGTGAGTACCAGGGTATTTAAGCGTACAGTAAGCGGTGTGGGAGGTGAAGAATGTAACACTTCGTTCCTCCCTCCCTCGTGTCAACACCAGCGGGGAACGCCTATGGCCATCTTTCAGGGTTTTAGAAGAATCTCAAATATTTTCCTCCGCTACTAACGTCTGTTGGGTTTAATGACTCGAGTGTCTCTTTTAGTGGTATAACGGAAGATAACATTATTTGTGGAACGTCCAAGAAGATATTTTTACACGACTTCCTGTGTACCCAGCCTTCCACACCCCCACCCCCCCTCCCCCTTCCATCCCCCAGCTGTTGGAAGACGAGGCGGTGAAAAATGTCATCAAAAGGCGTTAATGATCCTTGAGGAGTTAATTATTTTTAAATTACATATATGAAATAATCAAGTTTGCTGTTCTTTAATTACATAGTTGAAATATGGAGAATTGTGTTATTGATACTTATTTCAACAGGTAGGAAGATTTAAGTAGATTTGGTCTGATTTAAAAGGAGGAATTTTAAGTAAAGGAAATTCATGCGGTATCTGTGTCAGTTTACTTAACAGTAATCGCCGGAATTTGTCAATAGTCGGTCGACACTTGCCACATCTTATGATATCACTACTGGCAGTGATCCCTCGGTCTGGGGGTGAGTCGTCGGCCTCCTGATGTTGTGTGGAGAGATTATGTTGTGATCACAGCCTCACCCGGCCACCACCCAGCAGCCACCACCCAGCAGCCACCACACAGCAGCCACCACACAGCCATACATCAGGGCTCAGGGTAGAACATCCCCCACACACACACCCCCGGTCTGGCCCGATGGAAGATAAATATATAACCTTTATTAACAACTGCTCTAATATCCGGTCCATTCTGTTATCCGGGATGAGCTTCACTTTAAGACAGATTATCCCTGAGTCGTATATCCACTGGCGAGATAAATGGTTTAAGGGGAAGTTAACTTTTGAGCAACATTCACACAGACATTTTTAAACCCTTGTGTATTGTTACTGTGAATATGAAACTGCTTCATTGTATTATTTTCTTAGGTGTTGATAATGTCACTTTGGTGTTGGTATGTTGAACTATTAAACCACGTCCTCGAGTATAGAGAAATTATACTTTTCACTTTAGGTTTTGTGTAAGAATTTCAGCAAAGGGTCTCAGATAGCCCTTGTACTCTAGATGAAGGATTTTATTTCCATTCATGAGTGTATCTTGTCGCACTCAGCATCTCCCCAGCCCTATTGAGACCAGGAGGAGGAGGAAGGATCGTAGGGCAGGGCAAAGGTACACTTTGAGGGAGGTTGAGGCGGGAGGAGGAGGGTTGAGAGAGAGAGAGAGAGAGAGAGAGAGAGAGAGAGAGAGAGAGAGAGAGAGAGAGTTCACCCACATAACGCCAAATGACAGAAATAACGTCACGTGTTGTGTGATAGAAATAATGCCATGAATGACCTTACGAGATTGGCTAACTATTGGAGAGTGAATTTGCATTTTTCTCGAGTATTTCTTATACGTGTTGGCCAGCCCCCAATTGTGTTTCGTTAACCTGATGATCTTACTTTCACTTCGTATAATTGAGTTATGTTGAGGATCCGTCACAGTGTACTGGAGATGGCTGCTGCTTCTTGAGGCTGAAGGATTTTATTTAGGCTTTCTTTATGTTTTAAATTTGTAAATTGTTATTGAAGGTGTGTATTAGAATTCTATATGCAGTGTTATTATTATTGCTGCTGTTATATAAATTCTCTCTCTGTCAGTCTTCATCTCTCGTTATAATAAAGTCATTTGTCTGGAAGGTTAAACCACTTTACTTGTTCACGTCTCTGTAATAAGTTGTGTATACAGGTAATTTCCCCCAGTGGAGGTAGTGAGCCTGAGGGTAGTGTACGGGGACTAGGATGAGTATCCAAACAACTTCCGCCTGCCCGGGAATCGAACCCATGACATCTTGCTTGCGAGGCAAGAGCGGTACCACTCTACCACCAGCGTCCCCTGTACTCATTGGTTCACCAGCCGTCACGTCACAGGTCATTTGGTTCATTACCTGTGACCTTTGTGATGTAATATTACCGCGTGTGTTGTTGCTTAACCAGGCGTGGCTGTTGTCTCTGGTATTAATTTTCTCCACGTGAAAGTACAATGAATCCCATAGGCCTGACGGAGGTGTGACCGACTCTGCACTCGACCGCCTTCGTTTCCCCATAAGTAAAAATAGGTACCAGTTTATAGTAGATGGCTGTATCCATTCTGCCGCCAGACTTCTGTTCTACTTTAGATGCAGTAAACATTAAAGAGAAATATAAGATAACAAAGCGGAGGAGGTCTTAACATGTTTGTGTATATATGTGGTTTTTGTTTCTATATTAAAGTAAAAAGTGACTTACTCAGATCTTCGTCATTACATTGTTTCAAACTTGTGAGTGACAGCAGTAAGAAAATGTTTGCCTTTACACCAGTGATTTTGGCCTCAGGAGTACTGTTGATCGGTGCACGCCCAGCTGTGTCCACCCAGCCACTTAAAGTTTCAGTGTTCCTTTTCCTTGACAGTAATTTATTCATATAAGTTGGTTCTTTATTAGGTAGTCTATTGCCTCTTGTAGTTATGGTGTTTACGTTAATATTTGTTTGGTACTTTGTAAGAGTATTAAATACAAGGACGTCATGTTGGGTGATTAACTAACGTGTGCTTGTTTCCTTCCCCTACAGGATTCGCGCAGTTCGTCAAGCAGCGAGTCGGAGGATGAACCGGTGAACAAACTCCGTCGACTGTCTACATCGTCGACGTCGTGTGGGTCGTCGTGTGGCTCACCCTGCCCCTCCCCAGGCCCTCGTGCCCACCGTACCCGTCGCAACAGGCCGCTACGCTGGTCAGCCTACGATTCCAGCCTGTCGGAAGCGGGATCTTACATTGAGGTGAGCCAAGAGTCCGTTGCTTGTACGGGTCTTGTGGTTAGGGAAGGTGTGGTGCTTCTCCTCAACATTCAGTAGGTGGTCCTTGTTCTTGCTTGTCTCTCAGGCGTGGAGGGGGAGCTACTCTGCTTCCGAGGACCTCCGCTTATAAGGGCGAGCTTTACAGTTGGTGTTTGATATTAATGGGATAAAAACTGGCCAACTGTTGATACCGATTATTGTTGCTTATCTAGATGATGTTTCTGGATAGGGGCTCACAGTTGGGTCGAGAGAGACCAGGTTACTAAGGTGAGGTGCTGAGGTAAGGTCCCTCATAGTGAAGGTGTCCATTAGAGCCAGGTGGCCGTATCCCCACTATACCTATGGGAAGAATTAAAAAAAAACTGAGGGTTATGGTGATCATTAAGCCGGGCCACAACCTGTTGTTTGTGGCCAAAGTAAACAAACAATGGACGCGGATATTTGAGGCCTGGCCAGTGGCCTCCCTCCTGGCCTGGGTGTGGACTTAAGACACCAGCTGGTTCACCTCTGTGTTGATGGGCCGCTGACTCTTGGTATTTGTACCACGCTGCCTCGCCCACACACTACTGTACCTCCGTGTTTGGGGTACGACTTGTTCTCCTCCTGCTTCGCATCAGCCGTCAATACCTGTAGGGCGTCTTGAGTCCTCACTAGTTACACACACACACACTGTTGCTTATTCCACCAAAGGGCTTTACCTCACCATCATGACCACACCACAGTCCCCACACCACCACTAATGCTCCACCACTACTCATGTTTACCTTACCTTAATCTCCCACACTGTCCTCTCCTCTCTCGGCTATCTCCTCACCTCGCCTATTTCTAGATTACCTTCCTCCCCCTCTATCTCTCAACATGCACCACCAGTCTGCCTCCCTGGTAACATATCATTTTGCTCCCATGCTTATCATCACTACAGAGATATACTTACCTGTGTCATCCACCTCATTCCTTAATAATCGATAATTTCGTCTTTGTATTATCTTATCTGTCGTCGTTGTGGTGTTTACAGTCACGTGATTCCCCTGTGTTCACTCCTATAATGATCTAGGACTAGCACTAAGGTGTATCTGTGTGTTCATAATGTAAGTGTGTTCGGGTTTGTATTTTGGTGTTAAGGTTTTTACATCTCTGTCTTTTCTTTATTCCTTTTATGCCTATTATCTCACCGTCTGTCCCTCCACCTTGATACAGCACTCCACCTTTACCTCTCAGCACCTGTGCTCTTTGGTTCACTTCCCACCATTTGTGCACCAGCATTGCCTTACTTCACCACCTGTACACCCACCCACTCAGCCTCCTCTCGCCATCACCCTGTGCACCATCTTCACTATATTTTCCATGCATGCCGCCGTGTGTGTACCCCGCCTCGCCGTGGTGAGCGGGGGGGACACACAGGTGAGCGTGTGTGGTGGGGGTCTGGAACGTGTTGGGACAAACGAGTTATTTCCTGCACTCTGATTATTTCCCTTTATCCCTCTCCACCACCTCCTCCTCGCCGGCACAGCCCGCACACGCCGACTCATGCAGCCGCCACGCTCATGAGACCAAGGTAAACTTCTCCTGTTGCACCACCACTGCCTTGCCTGCATGCTTGTCTTTCGCTGCCTCATTTACCAGAGGAACTGGATTTGCTGCCTGGCATTAACTCTCTGGAATCTTTCTTGTTCAACCCACTTCTAAATGTTCTGTCGCCTATATGTACGTTTAAGTTGTATGTACTATGTATTTACTTATTAGTTATTATGTAAAAGTTTCGTGTGTGTGTGTGTGTGTGTGTGTGTGTGTGTGTGTGGGGACCGTATTTCATCCTAAACACGGTGGAAAGGTTGTTACTCGGGGCCAGTTGTTGACAGTGTGATAAGAGGTAAATAGTGTGTGTGTGTGAGAGAGAGAGAGAGAGAGAGAGAGAGAGAGAGAGAGAGAGAGAGAGAGAGAGAGAGAGAGAGAGAGAGAGGTACATAACAGGACACATAGTGTATCATGGTAAATAATAGTAATTAACGGTATATTGAGAAAGTTCTGCAGCCCGAAGGCTGAAAATATATCTTGGACAAAAATGACTTGTTACAGACAAAGACGTGGGGTGGGTGGGTCGTTTAACAAAAGCTTTCATTACTGAAAGAAGGAACATGAATTGAACATACAAATTATTATAGTTTACAGTTGATGGCCCGGGCCTGGGCTGGTCATGTGGTGTTCACGTGGTGTAATATTTCGTTGTGTTTACGTGTGTGTGGGGAGAGGAGATGGCTGGTGGTGTGGTCCTCTACTCCTGAGTTGTTATTGTGGCGTCGCCCATTACACCTTCGCTTCCACACTTCACTCAGGATCTACAGATTCTACACCACTCAGTAAGTTATGTTCCTCCCACAGTGTGTACTTAGCCCCCCCCCCTCACCTCACTTATTACCCACCTGGCCACCTCTCCCTTACGGCATGTCCCCACAGTGTAACATGCCCCTCCCCCCCATACCTCCATACACTGAGTGAAAGCATGCAACAAGTAATAATGTGCATGTACTGTGTTGTGGTGTTGTTGCATGCGTTGAACACTGGCTAAATATGGCTGAAAATAACAATTGCTGCATTCTTATGTCTTCTGCCTTGACGTAAGTTAAGTGTTTGTGTTGTCTCTTGTGCTTGACAGAAAGTATACTTTCATTTTTGTAATGATAATGATTATGTATGGACGATAAATACTCCTTCATGATCAAGATGTTTTACCTGATGTTTTGGTGTTGCCAGGATGACTATGTATGTGTAAGCGGAGGCAGCGAGTGTGGTGCGGCACCTGCCCAGCCCCAACCTGAACCAATGGTGGTCGAGCCTGAGGAGGAGTCCCAAGCCGCCACATCCAGCACGGCGTCCCTAGACTCTGGTACTCTCGACGTGGCCGCCAGCAGCAGCAGCAGCTCGGCTTCGGGGCAGCAGGATCACGTCATGGTGGGCAGTGCCGGGCTGGACACAGTGCGTGCTCGCTGTGGTCAACTTCCTCCAGAAGACATTCTGGCAGACGTCACTATGATCCACGACACCGCCAAGTCTTCCACCATCACCGCCGCCACCGTTACCACCACCACTTCGCCCGGAGATATGGAGAACGTGAATCAAGTGAACGGCAACAGCGTAGTGTCTCCTGCCAGCACGGAGGACTCTGGTCTTAACATGAGCTCCTCTTTAACCGAGGTGTCTATCAGCAGCGAGGTGAGGGACTCCCCCTCTAAGACGAGCTGTACCAACGTGGAGCGGCCCTCGCCCAACTGTGCCGTCTTTGATTTTAAACACCAGGACACAGACACTGAAGAAGCCGCTACCAACACCACAACTAGTACCGCCACCGCCGCCTGCCAAGCCAACCTTAATCTGGTGGACTGCGACCCCTCCAGGAACCGCGTGTACCAGATCCGTCGACGAGCCATCAGCACCGTGCGTCGTGTGTGTACCCGCACCAGGCTGGACTTCAGTGGTGACGAAGAAGTGGACCACGAGGCTCTCCAGAGGATCATAGATACAGCCGTGCCGGATGACCTCGATTGGCTGAATTCGAACATGCCGAGTGATATAGATTTTAGTGGCGGCGAAGAGGAGGAAGTGGTGGCCCAGGAACACATGGACACTGGCAGTGATGGTGGCACTCCAGGGCAGCAGCAGCAGCAGCAGCAGGAACACCCCGAGACTCAGCGAGCCATGAGTAAAGAGTCGCTCACCAGATTGTTCAGTGACGCAGAGCGCCTGGTACGGGAGCCGGCAGAGGGTGACGAACCACCCCCCATAGTCTCTCCGCGACCACATCTCCAGCTGCCATTGAAGGGAATCTCGGGATACGGTGGGGTGAGCAGTAAGCAGAACCGCGTGAAGCAATGGATTGCTTCTCAGCGGCGTGAAGTGCGTCTCTCAGCCACCTGTGTCCTGGACTCCTGCGATGCCTCGGGGGAGCTGACCACCGGGGAGAGTGACATTGAGTCTGCCTCATCTGACGACATGGACGCCTCCACTGCTACCCAACAAGCCACTTCTACCAAGGGGTCCATGCGGGGGTCTCAGAAGGGCTCCCTGAGGGGCTCACGCGACCCACTGCCCTCCACCGACAACACCCCTACCACGGAGCGCCTCCCCAACATCCCCAGCACTACAGACGCTGCACAGGGCAAGGTAGGATACAGTGGTTGTAGCTTGTAATGTTTATTGTAATTTGCATAAGTTACACTTGCCAAAAGTGGTTCATATCTTACTGTGTGTAGAAGCAAGGAACACTATACTGATAAGCTGTGCGTGTTTCTCCCACACAGGTGGTCCTGCGTAACCGGAAGCGGCGCTCGGGCGAGCAGCGACCGTGGAGTGTGAATGAGCCGTACCAACTGGCAACCCACCTCGACCTGGCTCCTTTCTCGGTGTCGGAAACTGACCTCCACAACTTGCTCACTGCCACCCCAGAGACACCGACCAATGATAACCAAGCCTTGTAAGTACCTGTACTGTACCACGATGGTCTACCCTTATGGTTTGGCTTGCTCCGTTTTCTTTAATGAACATACAGCATTTTTCAATAAGTCTCGAGTAATAAAACTCATTTTCGGTTTTTTGTGCTTATTTAATTGTCAAGGGTGCGGTGAAGTTCGAGTTTTTGATGGTTAAGCGTTATGCCATCGACTTGAGGGTCACGTAATTGTGATTTTAGAATATGTTTGGTTAGGTTTTTGTTTTTATATTTTAAGTTATTTTGGCATAAATTATAGTTAAAAAAATCAACGTTCCCTCCTATCCCTGAGGTGTATTTTCTGTTAGCTTTCACCAGAGGAGAGTTAAACCCCTAATACGCATCAAACGAGAACCAGTGGGAAAAATCAAATCAAGATCTTTTACCACAATATAGATTAATTAGGTAAAAGAATGGTTTTTTGTGGAGCAGGTCGTCACGGGTGTGGCCCCTGTATTAACCATTGTCCAGTATAGTACATGTCATTGTCGTGTGATAATTACTTGAGCTGACCGGAACGTTTTTTCCTAAAAGTCTTCGCCCCTCGTTCAGCGCCTGAGAGAGAGAGAGAGAGAGAGAGGCGCCGGCCCTAATGAGTCACCAGCCTCTCTCCTCTCCTCTGTGATGGATATCTTGTTTACCAGCGCAACATTCAGCTTCTACAGTATAGTCCATTCACCAGACAACACGGTGAATTGTTTAGTCTTCTCAACAGTATACTAATGTGTAGTCACCCCTTCGATATCCTGGGTAACATCTCAGCACTTGTTATTAGCGACAAAGTGCAGAGTTCCTTTACTTGAATGGCTAAATAGCCGTTCCTTTTCCTCCCCTCCTTCCCTCTCCCTACCCCAATTCCCTATCCCAGTTCCTCCTCCTCATTCCTCCCCCATCCTTCCCTTGATCTCTCCTCCCTCACTCAATCCCTCCCCATTCCTCCCCCCTTCTCCCCTGCCTCTCTCCTACATCCCCCCCCCTTCCCTCTTTCTCCTCCTTAACCCTCCCCTCCCACCCCCATCCCTCCTTCTCATCTTCCAATTATCCAAGCAAATTAACACAAATGTGATGTTTTGCTATACCGAAGGAATTGAAATAAGTAACACGATTGTTCGCTTAAGCGGGTGACACTGTGGTGGTCGTACATGCCACAGTTATACAAGGCATTACAAGTGTTAATGTTTCATCGTCCCTGGAGATACAGCCACAACTATTTAAGGAGTAAGGACTATATATCACGCCTGCTCCCACTCACTCCATTCAGTTCAGACCGTCACTCGTTAAGCTGATAAATTTGTCTGTTGAAATATGATGAAAGAGTGCAATGATATCCAAATACAGAATCCAGGAGTGAATGGACTTAAATTACAGTAATCCTTTGATACAGTTTATATTGACGTGTGTGTGTGTGTGTGTGTGTGTGTGTGTGTGTTCTAGGTTAGTGGTTGAGTGATAGGTGTTGCATCAGTGAGGACGACGGTATGTTGCATGTTGAGTTCCGGGGTGGGTGGGTGTGGTGGAATTCACTCACACATGTTGCCTCTGGTGGTCAGGGCGAGTGGCACCTCCGTTCGCCTACATTCCTTGGGTCTTTTTCATGAATGAGGGTGTTGTGTTCGCCAGTGGGGGTGAAGACGTGCATCATGTAGAGCGGCCGGGTGATATATCTAATATTATTAAGGTATCCGTAGACGACAGGAAGCCTTGACATTTTACCGTCATCTTATCTTACACACGATACTGTCCCATCCGTCTTGCCTCCTGTACACTTTATTCTAACCTTAAATGGTGATGTATTGATATTTTGCCATGAGTCAGGTGGTGGTGTGAGAGAAGTGAAGGGAGACAAGTGGCCTAGAATCAAAGCGGTCACCGACAACCTCCTCTGGGAAGCTCAGACTAGAAACTGCCATTTGTCACAGTGCGGTTGTCACGCTCACTCTGGGCTCTTGTTGTCTCCTGTTATGTGTAGCCTCGTAACTCATTCTTAGCATTACCTGAGAGATTGTTCTACAGGTGAACAAGTGTTTGGCGGCTGCTCGTTGGTTCAGCTCTATTTAACACAATACACTGACAAGAATATTACCGCTACACAAGGGTAGTTCTGGCAGCTTCTAACTGTGACTCGCAGACCGAAGTGAATGACTCACCAGCCCAACACGCACTCATGCACGGCGGAATTTCATGTGAATGTCTAGAGAAATCGGGATTTAAGTTGCCGACGCCATGGAAAGCGGAAGCTGCTGCCATGTTCGTCGCCCTGACCTTAGATAAGAGCTGGATGTTGGTCAATAATGTGGAGAACCGTGACAGCTGTAGACTCAGTGAGGGTGCAAGTGTGGTGCGGGAGCCCCAGCCATCACCAGTGCACAAGTAACGTCAGTGTGACAGTGAAGCGTGGGGTCGCCTCTGGTAGCTGGAGCAGACGGCTGAACACTGCCTCACTGTGCTGGTGACAAGTGTTCAGTCCTGTACGTGGTGTAGACACTGTGTGAAGATCAGAGAGAATATCACTGATACTCGTGGACGTGTTTAGCTTCAGTGTTATATAAAAATTACTTGTGTGAGAAGATATGGTTGTTGAAAGTTAATGTACAACAGAAGGTTTGAAATAACGTGCTACGAAATCTACCGTTTTATATCGTAGTGACAGTTTTACAGTGAGAGATGGTGTACTACAGTACAGGGTATAGAAACTAGAGTAACATTTGAGGGATCCACTACCCCAAGCCCTGACCTTCAACACGGGGCTACATGTACGAGGCAATGAGACTAACACTGTCAACATGTTAGCTCTGAGTAACTACTTGAGTATCGTGGTGTTTGAAGGGTCTTACCGGTACGTCACTCACTCGTGTTTTTGGTGATCCTTGGTGCCAGAGCTTCTCGTTTGTCTTGTTTATCTCGGTGATTGTGACACATAGTTCCCCTGACATCACACACACACAGTCCTTCCCACACCTCGTGTCACAATATCAAAAGTATTTTACGTAAAGTTTGTATCTGATAGCCATTAGTTATGCCATTGTTCTTTATATTTGTACAGTTGTTTACCACATCAAGTTACACACACACACACACACACACACACACACCATGTAAACCGTTACCGACTCGTGAATTTCTAAACACTTGTGTGATAGTTTTCTGTTAATCACCATGTTTTTCCTTCCACAGGTAGTTGGTGTTTGTGATAAAATAACCATAATGTTTTCCTCTTTCTTCCACAGTGGTAATGGCGCCGGAAGCAGCGCCACCCTGGCAGACTGCAGCACACCTACCACCACCACCACCACCACCACCAACCCCACCACCAACCCCACCACTACCACCAACCCCACCACTACCACCAACCCCACCACTGTCAGTTCCCCCATCACTGCCAACCACACCAACATCTCCCACTCCACCACTATCACCACCTCCATCGCTGGGCGCGTCTCTCCCGCTACTACAGGAACAGGCTCACTCAGGAGGAGGAAAACAAGAGCCCGTAGGAAGTCCAACCTCTCCTTGGTCAGTACTCTTATGTTTGCCAAGCACTTTAATGTTAGTTATCCAGGACCTTTCTCGTGTATTTGGGCTGTTTTATACATTTACCTTGAGGGTAAAATATGCTGTAGTTCCCCCTTGTATATTTTGAGAGAAAATGACCCCTCCCCAACAGGAGCTGATGTACGTTTTCTTTCATTTATCTTTCAGGGACGACGAACGGATTCTGGTTCGGAGGGAATCACGCTCAATTTATCAGGTGGCTCAGACAATATCCACCTGTCACCCAGTCGTCGTCTCTCCCTATCTAAGTCACACTCTTCGGGTTCAGACACGACCTCACACTCCAGGAGACACATCGTCAAGAGTTCGTCCTTCTCTGGTGAGTATGATGGTGATGGACCTTCAGGAGGGTGTTGCTGGGTCTCCCGGTGTGGATGTTGACGGTGCAGTGAAGGCCCGTGATGTGTCTGTGTTCTCGTGACGTAATCAGTATTCAGGATGTGTGCTGTTAGTGTTTAATGCTCCTTCTAGAGATCCGGGGATTATCAATGCGTGAGGAAGTTGTTTGTTTAGGAATTATTAACATTTATGTACACGTTTCAGTAACAAGGAGTGAGGTTATGCAGTTAATATAAGTCAGTGAGTATGGTGTGGGTGGGAGGTGAGCGCTGGTGAATGCAGAGGTATGGCACAGTGTATATATAGCAGTGAGACGCGTGTGTGGTAGTGGTGAGGTGTGCCGGGCCCTGATGATAGTGTGGGTACACCGTCGATTCTGTTAACATACAATTACAAGCAGTGGGTCAAGTGTGCTGGACCAATAGTTATTATAGTATTATCTTAACGCAAATTGGTATTGTAGGTAATGGAAATAGGTGAGGTGATTTTATTGTTATTATTCTTTGTTGTGAAGACGTTGTAAGGTGGACAGTGTGTCAGGATGGTAGTGGGTGACCACGTGTGTCTTCCTACAGGAGCATGTCGCGGTGGGTCTGGCGGGATGACCTCCTCCACCGAGAAGTGTGTGTCAGACTGTGGAGGTGTGCTGGGAGTACCTCGCACTCCTCCACACGCCCGCGGTGAGAACTGCTACTCCAGCGACGAATCACGCCCGCCCAGTCCCGTGCCGGTGATCCGAGAACTGATCCCCAACCAGAGTCCCGCCCATGCCGCCCGCAGCACCGCCCTCATGAGTGACCAGGACGGCCAGAACACACACGAAGACATGAGTTCTCTGTCAGAGCAAGCGTGGGACCCCTACCAGGTGAGTTTAAAACACTCAGTCTTCAGGAGAAAATGTCCTGGTCATCGAAAACTAAAAAAATATTTTAAACATTAGTGACAGTTTCTTAGGTGACAGGATATTTGCCTTAAATTCCATGTACTGAGGTGTGTACTACCCTGTAAACACCTGGTTGTGTCACCCACACAGGAGCACAAGTACCTTAGTGAGCCGTACTCTGAGGACATAGACCAGGAAGCTGCACGTCGACTGTTGGACTTTGGGGACGATTACCGCAAGTACATCGACTCCGACGGTGCGTCCTCCTTCTCCGGCGTCCCTCACAGGGGTCGCCGCTCACCCCACCACCGCCGTCTTCGCTCCTTGGCGCCTCCAGGACCACGCGACCTGGACTCTGACTCCGACTTGGACGACCTGCATCATTTGATTGACGAGTCCAGGTCACAGCTCACAGTGACAGAGAACGTCTTCAAGAAGTACCCTAAGGAGGCTGCTCCTGAGTTAGATTACGTGAGTATTATTGACGTTTATGTTGGCTAAGTCCTTCACATGTTGCATAGCGGAACTTAAAACATGAGGAAATTACTTCAGTTTACCCTTGCTAGAGTAAGATCCGTTCTCTCTCACGGGTGGATGGAACCGTTTTCTATTGTAAGCGTCCCAGCCTGGCCAGTGTGAGCTGACCTTGACACGGTGACTCATTCGGGCAGCTGGGTTTGAACAGACCTTCCTGATGGAGGTTAACGTTAGTGTTTGTTCTGCACTCTAAAGTTTCCTGACCTAAAGAGGTACATTTATCAATTCACTAGTGTTTACCTTTCATGAACTGTTTAAACGACCGCCACTTATTTGTCCATAGCTGTGTATTCCTCCGTTCATATGATACTTTACCATACTAGTTTCTGTGATCGTCTCCCATACAGAGTAAGTTTAGAGCGATCGTAGTGTAGTGAAAGTTGTCGTCCATGAGCACTAGGTAAGACGCTAGCATATACCACAGTTGCCAGATGAGGTGATCTCTTTCCGGTCTCAACTGCTCTCATTAATACTACTCTCGTCACTCATTTGAAAGTAAATTGGTGACTCAAGTTAAAATCACTCCACATGTACCGACTTAAGGATAATATAAGACGAGAACAACTGTAGCGGTAGTTAGAATTAGAGGAAAAAATCAGTATTATGAGCGAGAGGTGTGGCAACAGTGTGGTGCCCAGGGGTCCAGCATCAGGGTTGTGTAGCAGCAGATGTGTGGACCAGCTGCTGGAAACTGGAACTGCTTATCTGTTGTTAGTCGTGACAACGGTGGTGGCAGTAACACAACTGTTATTGGTGTTGTAAACGTTATGTATCTGTCAACCGCAGCGCGGTAATGAGTCAACAAGTTATAGTAGAGAAAAACTGTTTGACTGTTCGCTTCTTTGTGAAATACTGGTGAGGGTTCCCGCCCACGGCTTCGCTTCCTTCCTCATGGATTTCGGCAGTGTTGACACATGATTTAACTCGGTTACTGTAAATTATTACCTTGCTGAAAGTTACTGAACATCAAGTAGACGGAACGGTAACGTGTGTGTCTTAGTGAACTCCTGTATACGAGAGTGGACATCACATAACTTGATACAGTAGTAAAGAACACCGAAGAGTACTGGAAACTAGGGTCTGGAGTGTGAGGTGGCGAGACAGTGTACCGCCAGTGAGTGCTATGGTCGAGTCTCCGGAACCATCACCACAAGTTAACGGATACACTTCTATTATAAAACGTAAGGGAATTCATTTAACACAATTGAAAACTATTATAACCTTAGGCCAATGCGGTTAAGTGTATATTGTGACATATAACCTGTTGGTAGTGAAGTAGTTTTAGATAACAATGAAAGAATTTAATAATGACAGCAGTGAAATAATGGTGTGATAAAGATATGGTTGTGTCGTGTACAGACGGAGCTGGTGGCCACAACGCAGACCAACATCAAGTGCCTGGCGCTGATCGTGCGGCACCTACAGATGGAAGGCACGCTGGAACCCGAGCTACAGGAGGTCCAGAGTGAGTACCTCCTTCACCACCTTCCTTAAGAGAGACGCTCCCCTGTCACCACCTGGGAGCCTCGCTCTTGGTGTCTTAGTATCACCTTCAGCCATTTGCCAACTTTTATGGTGACATTTAATATTTTAATTCATATCTAATATTCTTATTTTGGAGAGATGCTCCCCCTTAGGTATTAATTACACTAAAGTAAGATTAACCACAACTTGGTCATTTTGGCTTTTGGTGAGGCTGTGTTTTGTTAAGCCACCCATGATACACACACACACACGCACACAGGTGACGTTCCCTAATATTGTGTATCTGAACCTAATTATTGCATGAGGTATTGTCTGTATGCATGGCACACTTTTTCAATATTAATGTGTTACTATAGACGATAAGTCGGCAGCTTGGACGGTAACAGTACACAAGGTAAGAGTTTTCGTGCAGGTAAGTTTTTGTTTAATGGAGACAAAGATAAATAACAAGGGTCTATTTATTTAATGGTCTGGAACAAACAAAGCGATACTGAGAAGGGAGGGATAAAAACATTTTGTTTCTTGTTTAGTAAAAAAGAATGAACTACCACCGTGACGCTGGTATTAATGAGAAGTTTCCGCCCATTTATCTGTCACGTCACGCTATACCTGCTTTGTCCTGCATGTAATTAAACTTGGTAGCACGACTCATCATTTTTAAACATTAATTTAATATATCCTCGCTACTCGTACAAGAGGGGGGGGGGGAGGAGGACACACGTTACTCTAAAACTAATATTAGGAACTATAATGTGATGGCACAGATTATACAAGACACTTTTGCGGTGCAGCCACGAGAAAGTCCTTCCCAATGACGCACTCGAAATACCATCGTCAAGTAGTCACAAGTGGAGCACTCCAGATAGAAAGTTCAGCGTCCGTCAGAGCGCGGCGACGGAGTACCTCACACAGCTGTGGTGTAGGAGTGTGAGGGAGTTAGTGAGGAGTAGGCTGTGAGCACACTCCGTCGCCTCAATTTAAAACTATCAAGACTCATGATAAATTCTGTGTCGTCGTTGCATTGCTTGAGGTTGTTGATATCTATCGTGGGTAAAAATAGCCGAGGGGAGTGTTGCGGGAACCACCAGGCTGTTGTCAAGCGGGTGTTGGCAGTGCACCGTCGGGAGGGTGCTGGTTGACGCTGGGTTTTATTGTGCCAAGTGTTGAGAGTCGCTGACAGCGGAAGTCACCGATAATGACGGTAGCGAGGCAGAGTGGGAGCGAGATATTTGTGGCACTAAAACAAACTAAATGGTTGACAGAGGGGCTGGGATGGATAATATCACTGTTGTATCAGCAGTCAAGCGGGAAACAAAGTGATATTAGTATAAATAGCTGAAGGTTGGATATATTTACCGTCACCATTGTAGAAAATCGTAGTTGTCGCCGGGAGTGTTGTGGTGAATTTGTCGCAGTATACCAGCAGAGGCTCACCAGCTGCCAGAAGAAAGATTGCGTGTGATTATAAAAATGCTCAGATATTTATGGTGGCGGCGCAGGACAGAGCTTTATTTACCTCACTCTTTTTGGGTTATGTAGAAGGAACATTAGGAACGGGAGCTGATATAGAATTCACAACTTGATATTTTTTTTATTCTTCAAGTAGGTAAGATCTTTAGTTGTGTACATATACCTGGGGCTTGGGACACACACTATTGTTCATATTATTATCAGGAACATCAGGAGCCATTGTCATCGGTGGTTGCTTTCTCGCCCTTTATACACCCTTCTTTGTTTTCCCCCCACCGGCATTTTTATCCCCACAGCCTCTTGAGTCGTCACTTCCACCCTGTAGATGTCAGGTGTATTGTGTCGACCACTGCACATCACCTCGCGTTACCTCGTCTTGTGCTACTTCATCTCTTTAAACTCTTTCTGGATGAGTAAAAACTCTTAGGTGGATGAAAAATAAAGTTCTGATTTTAAAAACTTTAATTCGGAATAAGATAACTGTCCTGACGTCCACTAAAGTACAACAGTGGTTGGTATTGAAGTAGCTTTTGAGTGTTAAATTATTGGTCACACCCAAATAAATGTTGAACTACTTCCCAAATGGATCTTGAAATAGTTATAATCCTTGACGATGTGACAAACACTCCCCATACTTAAACAGACGTGATGGGAAGGTTTTCTGTGGTCTTTAACCCTCGTGGTGCTTCCCTCTCAGGTTCCATCCATATACCCCACAGCAACCGTGATGGATGTGTTTCCTAACAGGTGGGGCTGTAATCTGGGATCCGGGAAGTCCCAGCAGTACTACACACAGTACGTTAACCTGCTCCTGTCTCTTCTCACTCCTCATCATTTGCAGTTTATAGATTTTATCGTTTTTAGGTTCGTTTCGGTAGTGTAGTGAAGCCATAGAGGTTGGTTCTTGATGACACTGGTGAGGCCCCTTGATTACATGTGTCCTCAGCTAGGGTGTGAGTGTCTCCCCTCCCTCAGGTAATCCTCGGGTGGTGTAGGGATGAGTGAACCCTTCTAAGGGGCGACGTCAGCCGTCATGATGAGGAGGGCTTCTGTGCGTGTAGTGACTGGGGTCAGATGCTGAGCCCAGTCCCTCCCGGAGCGGTTTGCCCTCCTCGGGGTTGGTCACATAACTGCGGCTCAAGGGCGAGGTAGACGATGCGTTCAAGGTTCATTGATGCCGGTCACCTAAGCCGGTTATGTCGTGACCACAGAGGAGTAACTCGGCTATACAGTCGTACTCTGACGAACACCGGCGCTGGTGGTGGTCTTGGGCTCTAACCCTGTGTGAGAAGACTTATCGGTGTGATGCAGTACTAGTACCTTGTGTTGTGCTGGAGTGTGTGAGAATAAACTAATGCAGTGTACGAGAGGGTGTTGCAACGATGAAAAGTGTCCTGCAGTCTAGTGATTGACCCAGATTATATCACCACTACGTTATTCAGAACTACACAAGCCAGAGGCCATCAAGTGTTAGTCCAGAATGTTGCGTTAAGTCCGGAATGTTGCGTTAAGTCCGGAATGTTGCGTTAAGTCCGGAATGTTGCGTTAAGTCCGGAATGTTGCGTTAAGTCCGGAATGTTGTGTTTAGTCCGGAATGTTGCGTTAAGTCCGGAATGTTGCGTTAAGTCCGGAATGTTGTGTTAAGTCCGGAATGTTGTGTTAAGTCCGGAATGTTGTGTTGGGCAAAGTGTTGTCTCTAGGTTACTGGGTTGTGCACTGTGCCAAGAATAACAACTACGGTACCCAGACTGTCGGTGCACCAGAACACATCTCAGCTGGACATGGCGCTATAGTTATGCTCACCATCGTTAGTTAGTATTTGATGGAAGTAATACAGAATAATATAAAGTAATAAGAAAAAAAAACCCTTCATTAATCGCATAAATCAATTAATCTTTTGATGCATGGAGTGTTAAGAGTCTCTGTTTGTCTGTCTCATCTAAATGTTCCTTTGTTTATCATTTCACTTTACTTTGGTGTATATTTAGCCCTCACACACACACACACACACACACACACACACACACACACACACACACCGCTAACACGTCACCATAACAGGGGAATGTGTTCTCCTGTGATAAGAAGTTATAGTGTCTTAGTGTAATTCATTGAACCATAAAACTGATGAATATCTATAGCTCTCACGGGCTATAAACTAATGTAAAAAACAGATAAGGGAGATTGACTAGACAGTAGGTTTTATAAGACAGAAATACATCAACGTCTATGTCTCTACGGCGCCATTCACTTAAATCCTGAGACATAATTTGTACGGTAGAGTATAATATTAAGACATCAGGACACGAACGTGTTAAAAATAAACCTAACCTGACCGAACTTCGACTACCAGGATTATTATCGAGGCAGCAGCGACGTCGTTTGATATAATACCGTCGACCTGGGTGAGGGGGGTACAGAGGAGACATCTCGGTGTTGTGTTACGCTCAGAACCTACTGCACAACCCTCACACACGTCGCCCCTTCACGAGTTTCTACTAAAAAACACGTTTATTAACTCTACACCGTGGGATGAAGAACTGGCTGTGTGTGTGTGTGTGTCCCACCTAGTGTAAAGAAGGGGTGTTGATGGAAGAGTCACGTTACGTCAACCATAATGGGAATCAAAACCTGCAACGTTGTCAGAGATTCCAAGTTTGTTTTATCTGGTAGGTGGAAAATTTTACCTTCTGGTTTGTTTATATGTTATGTTGTTATTGTTGTGAGGTAAAGTTGTTATATTCTTGTTGATAGTTTTTTTATTTCACCAGCAGCAAGGGAAGAAGCGCTTTTGGCATATCCCAGAGGAGGTCAGAGGCATCCTTGCCGGCGTTGTCGTCGTCGTGAGCAGTATTAAGTTGTAGCTCGTAATGCATCTTGTACATGAGCTTTCCTGTGTTCTACCAAGTTCCGGCAGCACTTGTGTATTTAAGCTACACATAGTATTTAACAGTGAAACTCATCGTCTTAAAAAACTTCGCCAGACTGTTTACATTTGTACATAATAACATACATCTAAATTAACGTCTTGTGCAGCTATGTAAAAAGCCTATTCACATGGAGTTAAACACAGCAGCATGTATAGTGTGGCAGCTACCGCAGGGAGACGTTGTGTAAGGTGGTGAGGGCTTGGACGTGGCTCACCAAGTATGCCAGGAACTCGAAGTACTATCTTGGGGTGCCAAGTGTGCCGCTAATTGCTTCCTGGCTCTCTGGCATTCGTTGTATATAGGTACACGGGCGTATTTTATGACGTCATTTGATATTAGTGTAGTAGTAGGCTGTCATCTTCGGCGTGGTGTAGGTGTTTACTGATGTAAGAGGCGGGAGCGTAGAGAGGAGGATCGTGTTTGGGGCTCAAGGTGGCAGTACTAACTCAGGCTATGGGCAGTAAACACCCGATACCACAACATTCTTACCTGCTTCTATTCTTACCATCAGCTTGGGAGAACTTAACGAATCGGGGAATATTTTAGACTCATAAATATAGAACGTGATGTTGGATGATCG